ATATTGCTGAGCTGTTCTAAAGAAACCTGGTTGTAATACAGTACAAATTCTACTTTGGCACATAGACATCGTAGGAAAATGGCAGCAAAACCTCTCCCTTTCAAGAGAGAAAAAAAGTGACTTTCTCGCTCCTGAGAAACTCATGAACTGGCAGAACAGTTTTGTCTCCTAACAGGACAAATTGTGGGTTGTTGTAGCTTTTTCGGGCTATATGGCCAATTGGCCATGTTCTAGAAGCACTCTCTCCTGAAGTTTCACCCGAGTGATTCCGACCATGAAAGCCTTCGACAACACATAGGACAAATTGTTCTGTTACTTGGTCCCCACATTATGGCAACTTCCATGGTCCTATGGCACTGCACATCTTTGTTCCTAGTCCTAGTTAGCACAAGTAGTGGAAAGGGATTTGGGGAGCTAAGTTTAGGGATCCAGAGACAGATCATGTGATATATGCAGCTTTGCAGAGGGTTTAGAGGCTTTGCAGCTGGGAGACAGCTACTGCTGCTGACTCCTGGGTCATCTGCAACTCTAATACTCCCGCAGACCCAGGTACAATTATTCTTGGCTCTAATAAAATATATCAATTTTTGGATTTTGCATCCTGATCTGAAATTATTAATGGGTGACTTGAAGGCATGCACACATTGTTTGAGAAAGATTGTACACGAAGTCACATTCATCTCTCAATAGAATTATTGTCAACAGTTCTCCAGGCTTGTAATGTATCTGGAAACAAACAAAAGTGTGGAAAATCTTCATATGTCCTTGATTTTTCAATTTGCAGACATGGCGGTGAGGAGGATTCTATTTCTTTTGGCTGATTTATTGCTCCTAAATGGTGAGTAACCTGGATGCAACAGCAGCGGCAGAAACATGGGCAGGCACTATGTAATGTCAATGCTGTCCCTTTAGACGGGAAACTGGGCCAGCTTACATTTAGTCCAACTGTCCAGATTGCCCTGTCTCTCCCAACTTTGCCTAAAGCAGGGCAAAGTCAGTTTAACACTGCCAAAATATTAAAACTCAAAATCTCATGATACTCATCGGAAACTGCTGTGAGTGTGTATGGGTTTTCTGACCTATGAGTTCAATTGCCCTCCCTAATCATCTTTGTTGTGGCCGCGGTGGTGCAGTGATGATAATGATGATAATGTGCAGTGATGATAATGTTGGTTTTTTTATTGTTTTTATTGCTTCCATTGCGGTTTTATACTGTTTCAATGTTTAATTTGTACTTTGTTGTTATGTGTACTGACTTGTTGTAAACCCCCTTGAGTCGCCGATAAGGCTGAGAAATGCGGTATACATGTATAGTAAATAAATAAATAAATAAATAAATAAACTGCTAAGGTGCAGAATTTGCTAAAAAGAAGGTCAGCTGTTCGATTCAGAGGGACGGGGGTGAGCTCCTGCTGTTAGCCCCAGCGTCTACCAACCTAGCAGTTCGAAAACATGCAAATGTGAGTAGATCAATAAGTACCACCTCAGCGGGAAGGTAATGGCACTCCATGCAGTCATGCCAGCCACATGACTTTGGAGGTGTCTACAGACAACGCTGGCTTAGAATTATAGATGAGCATCATCCCCAAGAGTTGGACACAACTAGACTTAAATGTCAAGGGGAAAACCTTTACCTTTAATCATCTTTGCAGGGATTGTTAGGATGTCTTTCAAGCAAAATATTAATACTAAGTTGTTTCATCTTTCTGCGCCTTCATCTGTTCCTTTCGATCACTAGAAGTTCAGAAAGAAAAAAGTGGCAATGATGAACTTTAAACAGAGTTTAAAGGACTGCTTATTTGGGTGGACATAAAACTATGACTGGCAAAATTTTACATGAAGGCTCTCCCTATAACAAAATAGTTCGGTAATACCGTTCATAAATTGGAATTAAATAGTTTAACGGGGTAATACTGTTCATAAAATGGAGCTCCTGGTGGCACAGTGGGTTAAACTGCTGACCAAAAGGTTGGTGGTTTGAATCTGGAAGGTGGGGTGAGCTCCTGTCTGTCAGCTCCAGCTTCCCATGTGGGGACATGAGAGAAGCCTCCCATACGGGTGTCCCCTGGGCAACATCCTTGCAAATGACTAATTATCTCACACCAGAAGCAACTTGCAGTTTCTCAAGTCGCTCCTGACATGAAAATAAATAAATAAACTGGAAGTGGAAGACTGAAGATCAACCAAGATAATTGTAGAGTTGTTCCTTCAACTGTTGAAAGAGATTTATTTTTATAGGATATGATCTTCCTCACCTATATCATATATACTGTGCATTGTTTGAACTGGTCATTAGAAGGTAAATTGACTTTATGCTCTGCCATTGAAATGCCAAATTTTGGCCATGCTCTTTTTCTATATAAAAGCTGTTTGGTAATTGTTGTGTTCTATTGTTTGCAGCTCAACTCTGCACAGAAATCCCTAATCCTGGGCTTCTAAAACAGATTGATGCCGGCAATGGCCTTGTGGTTGGCCTGGAGCCTACTGGCAATGTATTTATGTTGAATGGAGAAGACTGGCTTTATTTGGCAGGAGGGATGCAGCATGTGTCCGTTGGCATTAGTGGTATATGGATGGTTGATTATGACAAGCACATCTATCGTCTTCTAGGAAGCAATTTGGAAAAAGTATCAGGTACTTTGATATGCAT